AAACTCGAGCTTTTGCTGGTTGAGGATTGCGATGCCGGAAGAGGCGGCGGATTTTAGAGGCGGCGGTTCTTTTTTAGCGGTCTCAGGTTGAAAGAATTGCCCTATTTCGTGTTGGTCGTTGGCCATTATCCGTTGGCGATTGAGCTTCATGTCCGGCTCCGTGTCGGGAGATGCGGGGGCCGAAACGCCGTGATGTCGGATTGTGACTCGGTAATTGAGATTTAATGAGACTGAATGAAAGAAAGATTAAAGTTCGAACAAGGGATGCTCATTTTCCGCGGATTTGATGTGATTCGGTTGAGTTGGGTTGAGATGATGTGAGGCAAGTATTGGAGGGTCGGTTCACTTGTGACCGCTGTTCGCATTCAACGCGTGGATTATCGCAGAGCCGCATATCTGGGATATGACCTAGTAAGATAGAACCTTGGAAGGGATAATTTAATCCTATTTGTCGTAGGCTTTTTAAAAGGACAAGTTGTTCTGCACAGCAGTCGACATCCTGTAATGAAAGTGTTGGTGAGCTGATTCGATCACCACGATAGCTTTGCTCGTGACCGGACACGCAGGAAGAGGACACGGGTGCAAAAATAGACATCGCGATTACAACCTAGACAAGTTTGAACCTCGAGAGAGTCACTTGAGTCTCATTGATGTGAGCTTTCACCGATGTTTGGTCCTGATGCCCGACGAAGACGGTTGACGAGTTAGTTCAATCGTGACATTGAGTAGACGAGCACATCGTCGCAGAGCCGCACGTCGCGGATACGATCAAGTGTGCATATTGAGAGAGCTAAATGACGGACGGCGTCACGTAGGCCCATGCAGATGAACAGTCCGAATTGGCAGTCGTCGTCGTCGTGAGATGCAGCGTTGCCAACTGCGACGGCGCTGCCGAGAACCAACGTGAGAGCACCGTCGCAGAGCGGCATGCGACTTTGCAAGGCTCAGATCTTGATTGGATTGATAGATGGCGTGTCGCATGATCTGCAAGAGCACTCAAGTCTACCGTCATGTGCGCGATGCGATGCGATGCGTCTCAACTGTGCTCTCTCATCACGAGTCGCTCGTTGTCCATAGGAAGGAAGATAGGGACATAAGCTGTACCTACACCAATTGATAGTCCCATATGGAGAGATCAAAGCTTTTCTAGAGATTTGTTTGACGATTAGAATGTCCTGTTATACTATCGCGGCTCGTCGTCTCACGTCTCACTACGCGTTTGTCAATTGACCATCCAAGCATCACCTACGACGAACAATGCTTAATTGACTTATCTTTTCCGATGCATCTTATCGCATGGCCTACTCAAGTACTTTTAAGTATCCTCTAGTCATCTAGATTGTTCTTTGGCCATGCGTAATAGCCTTCTCTCAATCGAGGTCCGCGACAACTTCCTACACGAGACTAGCCAAGACGGCCGATGTCGCGTCAAACGGGCTCATGAATGCATATAACGAGTTGCAATACTTGTTTACTAACTTACAGGCCGATTTTAGATGCTTTCATACATACTATAGCGTTTTTGATCGATCGCAAGTCTTCTTGTCATGTTGTTCTGTACACAATTGTTAACCGGCCAGCGAAGCAGCATGTCTTTCCATGCCGAACAAAAGCGCTACTGACCTAGCTTTGGCTATGTTCTGTATCGCGCTGCTTAATAAAGTATGTCCGAGTGGTTCGTAGTCATTCATATTGCTCTTTTGTCTTCTCTACGCGGAGTTCCGTGATACCAGTGCCTTTGACGTTAGAAATGACCGAAGGCTGTCGCCGTTTTCGCGCGCGACAACCCCAACATTAGATACATGGTGATGAGATGCTCAGTTTATGATTAGACATTACATTATGTATATGTAAGCGCTCGCTAAAGTAAGTGTATCCCATGGAGAGCCATGTTGTGATGTCGTCTCTCGTCGTTGTAGGCAATCGTATATCGACCATCGAAGCAGTATGCCTGCTGATGTCAAACAAGAGGTCTGCTGGCCCAGCTTTGGCAAATTTCGGGGTCTCAAATCTTAACAGAATATATCCGAGAGATTCCAACTCATATACGCTGTTCTTCTACCCTCTCATCGCTGAGTTCGGCGATACCACTCTTGTTGGGATTCTAGGACTGGACGAAGTCTGCCGTTGTCTCGTCCGACGACCCCAACATCAGATTTATTAAGATCAAATGTTCATTCACCATTCAAGTGACCAATCCTTCGCATCTAAAAGCTTACTGGAGTGATTACAGTCCCTTGGGGGCCATGTTGTGACATCGTCGCTCGTCGTCATGCACAAGCAATCGTCAATCGTCAGTAGAAGCAGCATGTCTGTTCATGTCGAACAAAAGCTCTATTGACTCAGCGCTTGCAGTACATCAAGTCTCTTAGCTCAATATAGTATGGCAGAAAGAACCCAACTAACCTCAATTGCTTTTTTGCTATGACAGACGGCATTGTCACTGTTGAGCCTCCGATAACATTCTAATGGGACTGCTGGTGACTGCACCGGAGAATCCCAACTTTAGATCTATTGAGATACATTACTCGGCATTCAACTCAGCAGACTTTCTCGTTTATTTTTGGATTATTTTAAGTGAGTACAGTTGACTGGAGCGCATGTTGTGATGCCCTCACTCGTTGTTCTCGACGTGATCTTCAATCGCGATCGTCAAGCACCATATCGAATAAGAGCAAAAGAAGGCTATAATATTTGATGGCCACAGTTAATTTTGTCGCTTGGCCCAATGAAGTATGTTAAATCGCAAATCCAGCTCATCTCGAATGCACTATTACCAGGAATTGTTGTGTTCATCTCACTGATGTCGCAAAGCTGGCCAAGACTCTCAGTCACTGCCTCTCAGGGCCCCAACATCAAATACACTGAGAAGAGCTTCCCGTTCACCAATCAAGGGATATTCATTATGTATGTTAGTGCTCACTGAGGTGAGATTAGTCAATTGAATCGTCTGTTGTGGTATCGCGGCTCGTCGTTGTGTGCGCCGCCATCGAGACACATTGCTTGTACGATTAAAGCTCGATTGACTTGTTTTTAAATATCAAAACTTGTCGCTCTATTCACTAGAGCGTGTTCGAGACAGTTCAACTCGTCCTGAATGTTCTGTTGTGGCAGGCTGAGGTCTGCGACAACGTTCTCACTGGTGCCTGGAGACTGGCCAACGCTGCCGTCCCAAACAACAAAGCTAAAGAGATCAACTGTCCATGTTCAGTCGGGAACTATTTACAGTGCCTCTAGTGGTCGACTAAATGAAGTCAGCCCAATTGGGGCACTTGTTGTGGTGTCCTCGTTCGCCGTTCTGCTGCACAATCGTCAATCGTCCACCTTGATCGTCGAGACACCATGCCACTCACGAGCAACGAAAGCTCTTTTGACTTAGCACACGCTTTTCCATTTAGATCTCTGTCCCTTAGTTCATGTCTACATGACTGCGCCTCATCTCCGATGTCCTGTTGCGACAAGCTGAGGTCCGCCATAACACTCTCTCTGATGCTGAGAGACTGTCCAAACGGGCACTTAACATCAAGGAGATAAAGAACTGTTCGGCGCACAATCTTAGGGTGCTTATTATGCCTATAGGTGGTACTGGAGTAAATAAGTCACAAGAAATGCCAAGTTGTGATGTCACTGCCCTCGTTCCGCTGGTCAATCGTCAATCATCGCCATCGAGCCACTCCATTGCACACGCCCAACAACAGCTCTTTAGACATAATACTCACAATTACCTGTGTCGCTAGATCCATTAGAGTACGTCTACGAGCGCGCGACTCATCTCAGCTGTTCTGTCACGACAAACTGAGGTCATGGAACAGCCGCCCTCAGCAGCAATGTTCAATTGAACAGCCCTCGACCACCACTGTTATCAAGAGCTCATCTATCAATGTCTCGGAGGTTCTAATTTACTTCTAGACTCTTGTGTAACTAAGAATAGAGCTTTATACTTGTTAATTCTTCTGCGACTGTTGCCAGTGCTCACGCACAAACCGCCCGAATCAGTGAGTGAACTGATCGAGAACAAACACCAAGGACGCTGATTCACTCTCAGAACCGAGAATAAATGCAAACACTTTTTATTCAATTCCCAGTCAGTCGCTTCTTTCTCTCTTCAATCCTCCTCCGCTGCCTGGTCTTCTGTTTGCATCCCAAGCATCCTGCGACAAGTGTCTCGATTGTCAAGTCAGCACCACCATCAACACCACCAACTTCCAGTATTTCGACAACAAAACACCATCGCAGTCATGTTCAACCTCAATTCTCCCTCCGAAGCCAGACGCAAGGCCACCAAGAAAGCCTCGCGCGTCATGTCCAGCCTCAAAAACACCCTCTGGTCGACTCTCTCCAAGACTCCCAAGCAGCATCTCAAGGAGCAGAAGCCCAGGTACCAGCTCTGCAGCAACCCCACCATCACTATCACAGATGCAGAGACTGGCGAGGAGTGGGAATTCGTCGATCATGATGAACTCGATGGTGATCTCGCGAACAGCGACTACACTCGCACTTTGAGAGAGGAACTCGAGATCAATGCGCGCGAACAAGAGGATCTCTTGTATTCGCGGCGCTGGATGAACTAAGCTACCATCTTGGCGAGTGCGCTTCCACTGCGATGTCCAGTTGTGCGGGTGTATCGGTTGGCATGGACGGAGAGACATGCTGGCTGTTCGACGAAACTCACCAGTGCCAGTAGAACAAGAGATCTCTCGACGGTGGCAGAATCGCCTCGAGATTGACCGTATAAAACCCCATTGTCTGGCCGAACCCAAATCCCATTCCGATCCCATCCATCCTCGACGTTTCTTCCAGCCGGACTCCCTTCAGACACCAACTCACATCGACTTTGGACTCCTTACGACACAACCTCTTCACTATCTCCAAGAACCTTCGACCACCAACAACCTACACGACTGACCCGAACCGCCTTACACAACAGCCTTCTACACTATCCCCGGGACCCCTAACTACCGACAACTCCCCGACACCAACCTCCCTACTCCAAGTCCAGCATGTTCTCCGTGCTAGTCAAGAAAGTGACCGCCTTCATCAAAGGCTCCCCTGAAGAAGAAAAGGAAAGCGACGTGAAGAAGAGCACTGCCCCTCGCTCTGATGACACCAACGAGCCTTGGGAAGTCATCCCCACCATCAAGGATGATCCATGGACCGTTGTCGTAAAGAGCCGCAGTGCCATTTCGGAGTTCAAAGACAGCGGTGCCAACCGCCAGACCCCGTATGAGCGTACCTACCAGTACGAATTTGATCGCCGGGTCGTGGAGGCTGACCGCCGCGCCATTCGTGAGGCCAACATGCGAGCATCCAAGTAGATGTGCCCTTGTAAGCTGCAGAAGTAAAAGGTGACCACATTTTGTGAATGATCTTTTCTCTGGTAAGTCTTTCTGGGCAATGCTAAGTATGCGCCCCCTAAATTGGGATCTTGGTCGTAGAATAGAGACTGACCGACTGTGGCTAGGTAGACAAGATGAGCTTTCTAGGTAGAGAGAGAGAGAGTACATAGACTGCTTAGACGACAGGATTAGAGTGAGGTGAAATGAGGATGTCATTTGGATTGACTGGAAGGACTGGGTAGCTAGACGGCCGATAGTACACTATTGTATTAAAGCGTCTGTAGATAGGTATTTAATCTGTTGCCCCCATCATCGGCCTCTGAGGCCATCTCCACTAAACTGTGTCGTGTCTAACATAGAAAAACTTCTCAATCTCCCTTCAAAATGCGTGTATCATCTGTCAACAAACTCCAACATTAAACAGCTGATCACCAGTAATGGTGGTTGAACAGGGAGCCAAGACCAAGAGAACTGCCTGTTCGGTGTGACTGCTCGCTGCTCCCAGTTCTACTCGAGCGTGCAAGACTCGCGCGACTGGTCATGTCACGCTTACTACCCTTTGTAGTAAACGAGACCTCAGACTTGGCATCCGCCTCCGAATTGTCCGTGGATGTAGAGATCAGTCTGCGTTCCTATTCTGCAACTCTCTCTCCACCTCCGCGCCAGAGCCCGTAGAAGCCCTCACAATTCTTCCAAAGCTTGATGGTACCATCCTCTGATCCTGTAGCATACATCTTGCCATCAGGCGAGAATGCAATTGACCAGATAGGTCCGTGATGTCCTTTGTGTACGTCGAGTTCCTTTCCGTCGTCGTATTGGAAAACCTTGGCCCATGTACCAGGCTCCTCGCCGACAACTAGCTTGCGACCCTTGAGATCGAGCGCAACACTAGCGATGGTGTTGCTCAAAGGAAAGCGCTTGAGCTCATCCATGGCATTGCGACCACCCCAGAAGTAGGCCGTCTTTCCAGCAGCAACAGCGAGAACTGGCAATCCACCGCCAATATCGGTAGGGGAAGCATACTGGGAATCCAGTGACACCATCTCGCAAGACTTGATGTCTCCATCAAGAACTTCGTGTCGAATGCAGGCTCGGCTAGGCAGGTCGAGCCATCGGATTGTCTTGTCGGATGCGGTCACAACAATGTTAGGGTCCTGGGTCCAGCAAATGAACTTGATCGAACCAGTATGAACGCCTTCGCCGATCTCGAAGCCAGCGGAGGCGGGGATTGTAGCAGGGGACCCAGTAGAAGACAGCTCCGAGAGATCAAAAATGCGCAGCTTCTTCTCGAAACCACCGGTCGCGATAAGGTCCGAGTTGTCGGGAGGGTAGGCAATCGCACGGACAATGTGCTCGTGTTGAAGCGTATAGAGTAACTCGCCCGAGTAGGTGTCCCAAATTTTGCTATGCAAATATCAGCGACGTTGGGTTTTGTGACGGAGAATACTCACGCTGTGAAATCGGCCGATGCAGTCGCTGCGCTGCAGGTATCAGGGCTCAGTCTAGCTTGCCAAACAGCACCCTTGTGACCGATGAAAGTGCCGATCCTATGCAAGTCAGAGGAGGAGCTACTAGACCCAGTTGACAAGGACCTACCAATCACCAGTCAACCCGTTTCGAAGCATAGGATTGCCATCTATACCATGTCAATATGCGCTCTGTTGAGACAAGACATTGACGCACCTTTGCAGGCTGAGATCAAAAAGAAGCTGTCGGTCTTCTTCTCGATTTCCTTCTCATTTTCCTTCTCAAAGCCAGAGAAGGCGATATGAGGAACAGGTCGGGAATGACCGTGGCAGGTCAGAGGATGGTATTGTCGAGGTTCGGAAGCCATTGCGACAGTATAGAGAAGCGAAGACGAGCGGGGAATCTAGCCAATTGCGGCCAGCCGTATGTAGTATTCGATGTCGGTCTAGAGAGTAGCAAGATACCCGATCGTAATCGAGAATGTCAAAATTGGAAAGGTGAGAGGCCGTAACAGTCGTATGCGTCGTTAAGAGTGGTTTGGATCGTGACTCGTGGCAGAGCTTGTCGCGTGTCGTCGCAGAAGTGTGGAGCGTCTTTCTCGAGCAAATGGCGATGATGAGCCCAAAACTTGAAGGAAAGAGATAGAGAATCGGAACGTTAAGCTCGTGATTGTATGGGGTCGTGTCGTGAGGCCAAGAAAGCGTAAATGTTGCCCCCAAAGCGAACCCCCTTGAAAAGAGAAAGGAGAGGAGAGAGAGAGGGCGGTGATGGATTTGCCAAATATTTGCGAAGACGGGGGAGGACGAAACAGGTTGGACAGGGAAGGAAACAGCGGCGCGCATTCAAAATGACAGGGTCACGCTTGCCCGACTTGAGCAGCGGGCCTCAGGGAGCAAGAAAACTTGAGATTTGAGAGAAGTGTGCCAAAATAAGCTCAGCAGCAAACACTGTGAGATTAGGTTAGAGTCGCCCAAATATTTTCATTCCTTGGGATTAAGGTCCCGAGTTTTCTTGCAGCCTCGAGGCGGGGTTACACACGGGGTCCTCCTTTCCGGTGGGCACCGCCACAAAGCGGGGTATAATTGGGGGCTGCAATATCTTGACTTGGCTTGACTTGAGAGACAAAGATATTGATGTAGAGGACAAGTGATTATTTGTGAGACAGGGAAAAAAGAGTCTAAAGATGTCTAAGTGTGTAAGGTTTCCTTTGATTCAGCGTGCAGTGTTGAGAAAAGGACCGGAAGTCCACTCAAGATATATACAGTACTGCTCTATCCTGAGTCCCCTCAGCAGCTATTCCTGCCCAACTCTTGCTAAAGCAGTATCACCATAAAGGTAGAACAATGACTTACGATATATGCAGCAATCTAATTTTAGCCTTCCCAATGTATGCTTAAATGCGAAGCAATAATGCCCGATAGTTCACGACATCTAAGCCCGAGCGATACCTTAGTTATGCCCGGCCAAGTGGAGGTGGCTGGTGCTTAGTGACGCATTAAGTTGTGGCTTAAGCTGGACGGGACAGATCTGGCGGGAAGGGGCAATCAATCGATCAGCTTCCATTACTGACCAACGATCAGCTCTCCTCTACGATTTGTCACGTTTCTCCCGTTCCTCTGATGCCTTTTTGACGATACAACCTCTCCATACTTCTTGTGATTCATCCTTTTTTGTCGTTGGCGTTACCCTTGCTTAGAGAGATAGCAGGCCGTTCTCTTTCTTGACCCCGTTGCATCATCGTCCAGTCATTCATCAAGCTCCCCCCTCCACTGCATTCAGCAGTGTCACGTACTCTCATCATCCATCCATCAGACCAACCTCCAGAAAAATGACCGACTTCAAGCTGTCGGCGCAATTGGTCGGGCACGAATCCGATGTAGGCATTATTAGGCGACTTTTCTCTGCATCTCGAAACACTAACGGATCGATAGGTTCGAGCCGCAACCTTCCCCTCTCCCGATACCGTCCTAACCGCCTCCCGCGATTGCAGCGTCCGCATATGGCGCCGCACCCAAGCATCTCCCCCGAACTTCGACGCAACCCTGGTCAGCCGTGGTTCCGAATACGTCAACTCGATCTCCTTCTTTCCCTCGTCCAGTGAGCACCCAGATGGCTATGTTGTCTCTGGTGGCAAGGATACCATCATCGAAGTCAAGTCCCCCAAAGCTTCCAGCTCCGATAACGCCGAACGCCTCTTGATCGGTCATTCTCATAACGTTTGCACGCTCGACGTCTCACCCGACGGCAAATACTTGGTATCAGGCGGCTGGGATGGTCAGGCGCGGGTATGGAGCCCTCAGAAATGGGAAACAGAGCTCTCGTTGAGCGGCCACGAAAGCATGGCCGTCTGGAGCGTTGTTGCATTTGATGAGCACACAGTAGTGACCGGTTGTGCCGACAAGAGCATCCGCATCTTTGACCTGCGGCAGTCTACCGCCGGTGAGGTGTCGCCAAGCTCTACCATCTACACACCTGATGTTGTCCGCGCCCTCTGTCGTGTACCCAACGGTCACCCCAGTGGTGCAGACATTGCGAGCGCAAGCAACGACGGAACAATCCGCCTGTGGAAGCTGAATGGTCAACAAGTCGCCGAGCTGCATGGACACGAAAGCTTTGTTTACTGTTTGGTCAGTCTTCCGACAGGTGAGCTGGTCAGTTCGGGAGAGGATCGTACCGTCAGGGTATGGAAGGGTACCGAGTGTGTACAGACAATCACACATCCCGCCATTTCGGTATGGACCGTCGCTGCGAACCCCGAGACCGGCGACATCGTTACGGGTGCTAGCGACAGCATTGCCCGCGTCTTTACACGAAGTCCCGACCGTACTGCCGACCAAGCGACACTCAAGGAGTTTGAGGAATCTGTCAAGGCGTCATCAATCCCTCAACAGCAGGTCGGGGGTGTCAACAAGGAGAAGCTCCCTGGCCCTGAATTCCTGACCAGTAAGGCGGGAACAAAGGAGGGACAGGTGCAGATGATCAAGGAGGATAACGGCAATGTTACTGCTCACACGTGGTCAGTGAGCCAACAGCAATGGATCAATGTCGGTACTGTCGTTGATGCTGTCGCCAGTACTGGCAAGAAGGTTGAGTACCAAGGGAAGATGTATGACTACGTCTTTGATGTCGATATTGAGGATGGCAAGCCTCCTCTGAAGCTCCCTTACAACCTCTCTGAGAACCCTTACGAGCGAGCCACCAAGTTCTTGGGCGACAATGAGCTACCGCTCTCGTACCTTGACAACGTGGCCAACTTCATTACCGAAAACACCAAGGGAGCTACTCTTGGTCAGACTTCAGAGCCAAGCGGACCTGATCCTCTTGGCACTGAGTCGCGATACCGACCTGGTGAGAACACGCAGCCCAAGGTACTCCCTCAGAAGGACTACCTCAGCATTACAGCAGCCAAATACGAAGGTAAGATTTTGTCTCCGTGTATTTGTTCAATCACTAACAGGGCCAGCAATCTTTAACAAAATCCTGACCATCAACAAGAACATGGTCTCATCGGG